ATTTCATCAAAAAAATACGGTCATCTAAAAAATGCATGGAAAGAAGCCACAATGTAAAGTGAGGAAAGATGATCTGGTTCTTATACATTTTAAAGTCACCATAAATTGTAGCCTTTCTTTTTAAGATTTTTGGTAAGTGGCGTGGAGATTAAGAATACAAATTGGCTCTACTCCACTGTCGGTGGGAATGTAAACAGTACAACCATTATGGAAGACAGCCCGGAGCTTCCTTAGATTGACACCTTTCCTTCAGCATGACTCAGCAATCCCACTCCTGAGTACTGATCTAGCCATAACAAAATCAGCACATCAGAGACTTGATTATACAATAGGGAAGACTGGAATCAATCTACATGCCCATCGACTGATGACTGGACAAAGACAATGTGGGGAATATTTACACTACAGAATACTAGTTTGCCAGAAAAAGAGAATGAAATCTGAGGAGGTAGGGCAAGATGGCAGTTTAGGGTGCAGAGAGGTTTGGGTTGATGGAGAATCATTAGGGTGAAGCATAAGGAGTAGATTCCAGGAAAAGATAGAGGTCAGGCAGTTAGCAGGGGGGCACCTGAAGTCCCCTGGACACAGGGAAGCAGTGGCAACAGTGCAGCAGTGTTACAGTGAACAGAGAACCCACCAGCAGCCAGTAAACAGCAATCTGGACTCCAGTGATCCAGTCTCCAGTGGCAGCTGGAGATCCAGTGGCAGCCACAGCTCTTGCAGCAGCCAAGTGGGAGTGGGAATTCACCAGGAACTCATGAGGCAAATACAGGCAAAGAACTGTCTGTCCTGCTGATTTGTTTAACCCAACAATGAACACAGAATTAGACAACAAGGGGTGGTTCAGGGGCAGGGTGGATCTCACATTGCAGACTCTCAATAGTGCCAGATCGGCACCATCTTGTGTATTGAGCAGAGTGCAGATTTGAAGGGACAGCCTGGAGCGGGCTTGTTCCTAGCACTGAGCTGAACCCATGGAGGAAGCAGCACCAGCTTCGCATCCTGCAGGGTCTGTGTGATTTCTCAATCCGAGAGCCAGCAGCCTTGGACCTCCATCAGTGCTCCATCGGGTGCCATTTTGCACAGAGGGGCTGCGACTGAGAGGACAGGAGGAGCAGCAGTAAACTGCATATGCACTAAATCATTAGGATACAGATGCCATTTTTGCAGGACCAGATACTGTTAGGCTGAAGGGACAGCAGTTGAGCTGTGCAAGCACTAAACTAGGAGAAAAATCACTTCCAGCTTAGTGTATTGCACAGGTCCCTCAGAAAAAAAAGTTAATTGTGGCACTCTACAGGTTTCCACCCAAAATAACTCCAGGTGACACTCAGACTTAACAGCCAGCAGGTGTCGGCAAGATCAGTGCTGCTGACAAACCAGTCATTTAGGACAGCTGGTGTCTTCCTAATCCAGGACACTGCATGAACATAAATTTGACTTGTAAACCCATGAGTAACAAATCTTAGGAACCTGCCATAAGGAGAAAAATCTGCCAACTTAGAAATTGGCAATGGGGGGGGGGGACAGAGGGGAGGGATATAGAGAGGAGGTGGGGGGGTAGGAGGGGGGAGGGGGGGTGGGAGGGGGGGAACACCAAGCAACCTCAATGATTTCCAAAGGCTGTAAATCTCCCTCAGACGAATCTGCTGCTATTAAGGTTTCATTCCATAAGTTCCGAAATATCGTAACTCCCAATATATGCCAATTCCTTATGATACACAGCAACTGGGCAGGAACATAGAGAAATCTCTCATTTCCCTTGAAAATGCTAGCAATCCACGTAGTGCAACTTGCAGGAACTGGATAAGTATCTTAAAGTTGATAGTTCCAGATCAGCATTAGACAATAGTAAAAGCTATAATGCCACACAGGGGGAATCAGGAATGACCCAAACAGTCTATTAACAAGTGGTCATATGCACAGAATAGGGGAGAACCCCAGAGTGGAACAGAGGGACTGGAGGAGGCTTATCCCCCACCTATAAGGACTCCCGGACTCCCACCAAGGTCCATCAGAATGGACACAGGAACGTCAACGCAACCGCCAAAGAGAACACGGGGATTTGGAATGCCTCCGAATGCTGTGAACCCAGAGGACAGACACCCCCTCTCTTTGGACCAACTACATGAGATGGAAGAAACCCGAGTCCTTCCACATAGGAACCAACGACATCAGAACAACAACTAGGAACCACGATTGGTCATCAGAACCAGAAGATCAATAAACTTTCGGCGGGACAGTGGGGGAGGAATCCTCTCCAGTCCTTACCTAGTTTCAGCTCTGGGCCTCCACCCTCTATAAAGACCAACAAGGTTACTCCTAAACCCCCTCTCCCCCTACACACACACACACACACACTTACACACACACTCATATACACACACTAATAGGATGAGATAACCAAAGAACAATAGAGATAGGACATCAGAGACTCACTCATATACTATTAGATGGAACATAAAGACTCATTAGCAAGGTATGAGAGATTTCTCTGCAACACCCCCCAAAATCATTACACACCTCAATTGAGGAGGTGACATTGAAATAGTGGTAGAAGGTAATCAAGAACTTACATATAGTGTTAACATATTGTCTACTCAATTAAAATTGCAATGACAAAATATAAAAGAATAAATAGAGGTACTATGAATGTTATTGAAGAATTTCCAACAAAGGAGCGAAAGCCTCTACTTCCCTCAGATAACTGAGGAAGACATTGAGAAAATGGGGGACACAGAATTTAGAAAATTCCTTATAAAGCTACTAAACAACTATGAGAAGCACATACGAGAATTCAAGGAATTTAAAAATATGCTACACAGGAAATAGCAGCACTGAATCAAATGGAAAGTCATATCAGAAATTAAGAACACAGTGGAGCAAATTAAAAACACAGTGGAGAGTCTCAAACAGAATCAATGAAGCAGAAGAATCAATCTCTAAATATGTAGAAGACCTCTATGACAAAAACTATAAAACATTAAAAAAGGAAATAGAAGACATTGAAAAATGGAGAAACTTACTCTGTTTCTCGATTGGCAGTGGTCAATATCATAAAAATGTCCATAATGCCCAAAGTACTATACAGATTCAGCAGAATCCCAATCAATATCCAAACAGCATTCTTTTCAGAAATATAAAAGAAGATCCGCATTGATTTGCATAAGAAAAGGGGCTGGAAATAGATCTGACCTAGCAATTGCAACCACCACTGTGGTTATAGACTGATGAGGGTGACATAATGAACTGGACCCCATAATGGTGGGAGCACACACAAGAGATAAGCCTGGGGTCACCCCAGATGGAATTTCTTTGAGAAGCCTCCCTACTAAAGCACTGGACTCATAACTCCAACTATGGGGAGAGTGGCAGGATCCGTGGTCTGAAAGTAAAGTACATCTATCAAAACTGGACCTTCTCCGTGACTTCAGCAGAGCAGTGGATGGCATACCTAGAGGCACATGGAGGATATGTCAGACCACTGGAGCCTGCAGAAAACACCTGGCACCATAGCAGAGGAAGGAGGGCAGAACAAATTGATCAACTACCCCAATGAAGCATGACAGAAAACATCTGAGCAAATGGAGACTGAGGTGGACCATGGCAACCAATGGACCTTGGAAGGATATCCTCATCCTTGCATCTGCAAGATCAACAGCATTTTAGAACTACTGAAACCACTTGAGCAGAATCCTTGAGGCATGCTCCACATTGGGGACAGTGGGATGATATCAATTGGCTGTTCCTCATCCCCGGATGCTGAGGTGGTTGGGGGGCTTGTCTCCCCTTGTCTCTCTTTCCGCCAGATAAAGGAACAAGGAAAAGAAAATGTGAAAGCAAAAGTCTAACTCATTTTCCCCTGATCTTGGACCATATCCACCCTAATCAACTATGTACATATCATAAAGATTCCTGTGTCCTACACTGGAGTACTTGTTTAATTACCAGCTTGGGCACCTGATTCCAGCTTCCAGCTGATCTTGAGCATAGGAGGTGGCAGTGTGGCTCCAGTAATCGGGTCTCTCCACTCACACAGAAGATCTAAACTGAGTTCCCAGCTAGTAATTTAGCTCCTGGCCCAACACTAGTCACTGAAAGCATTTGGAACATTAACCAATAGATGGGAGATCTGCTTTTGTGTCGTGTGTGTGTGCGTGCACACTTCTAACATAAACAACCACAAAAAAATGCAGATTTTGGATTCAGATTGAGTTTAAACTTAAGCCACTTCTATCTGTTATTTCCAATTTTGGACAAATTAAATGAAACACCTCAACCTAAGTTTCCTCACAGGAAAAGGGTCAATCAAAAAATGTCCCTTTCTCACAATGTTACGTGGGCATTACATACATTATATATTTAAAGAATTTAGGAAATGATCTAATAGATTCAGGACATCAAACATTAGCTGCTTTTATGGCCATTGTTCTGATGTATGAAGAAAATGTTTTGCTATTTCGGATCAACTCAGCTCCAGCTGTTGCGGCCCCTTGGAGAGTGAATCACCAGACGGAAGATCTTCCTCTCTGTCTCTCCTCCTCTCTGTATATCTGACTTTGTAATCAAAATAAATAAATCTTTAAAGAATGCTTCATTATATACAACATTAGCTTACTCATATTTGAACTTAAAGAAATCATTTCCCCAATCACAAAATAGCAACAGTCATTTAGTGTCCCCTGCTTCTGTTCTGTTCTTCTTTTTAGTACATATTATTACCTGAGGTTGAATCTTCAGCCTGTTTTTCTGCTGAAATGGTTTCTACCTGTTGTGAGGATTGCAGATACTTTTACGCAAGGAAAGAGCGGGCCACTGAAAGATGGCATAATATCTCATTTTTTAAGGAGAAGAGAGGCCAACAGCTGTGTGTACCTGTTGCCCTGGAATAACCACATTCACTACACAGGCTGGCACTGCCCCACAAATGACAGTGAAACAAAATAAAGGTCAAGTGTATATCTGTTCCCCAGACAACACAGACCAGATTGCTTACATACCTGGAGAGTGAGGCTTGGTGCTTGAAGCTGCTGCTCTCTTAGGAGAGGAAACAGCAGGTTTATTCGTGTCTTGATCTTTCTGTGCTTCTTTCTTCGTTCCTGTATGCAATTTGAGGAGAGAAAACAGAAAATGCTCATTATGGTTGAAGCAGCAATCTCAGTGGCTCAGGAAAAAATGGCTTACCAAAAGCAAACAACAATGGCAAGTAGTTGAACAACTGGCTGCTGTGGTCCCTATTCCCTGTGACACATTCATTCCCAGGCAAGAAAACTGAGTTTCAGTGGTCAGGGCAGAGAACTCACTGCTGTTTCTAACTTGGTGAGAAATGCTTCCTTCCCTGAAGGTCACTGTCATCCCGAGTACCTGACAAACCCAAGAGCTAACACTTCTACTGTATGTAGTCACCAATTCCATATACCTGCGTTTCTCTAGCAAAGTAAAATTTCACAAGGTGAGTGAGGAAGCAGTAGTGAACATGACTGGTTAATAACTGCAGCAACATCCAGAGCTGAGTCCCTGGGGGAAGAGGGGCTGACTCTGATGAATTTCCATGCAGCTGGTACACAGAGCAGACCTGGCAATAGCCCTCTTGACGTGAGCTGAACCTGTGTGGCAGACGCTGCCACAACTGGCCCTGCACAAGGGCCGTGTCTAAGGACACAATGTGGGTGCCTCTCGAATGACATCTGAGGTCTGCAGGATACAGTGAGGCTTTGCCTTTGTGCTCTGTGCACAGCACTCACCATCAGCTCACCTTCCTCAGAAAGTAATAGGATAATGGATGGAAGATTACAGAAATAAGAGAGATGTCTCCAACCTGCCTCTGCTTCTGCACGTGACATTTCAAACACAGAGCTTGGGGTGGGTCCCCAGGTGTTAGATCACACTTCTTTCCAAAGCTAACAATGGCTAGCAATTCTGTGGTTCTTCTTCAGGGTCTTTACCTAATTATTTGTAAACATACACATTTTTATTTACAGAAATATAGCTAGTCATTAAACAGGAGGGCATTTCAAAGAGTTTGCAGAAAGATGGAATTAAAACTAAGCTTATTTTGGTGCAAAAATATTAAAATTGATGCTTTTTGAAATCACTTTTCTTTTTGTTTTTAAGAGATGTGGCTTATCTACTAATATTTATCCCAGTAGAACTAAAGAGAAATATCTAAAATATTGCCGTGGTCTAAATGCTATAACTTCTTCAACGCAACTACAGTATTTTATTTTTCTTTTATAAGGCATTTATTGATTTATTTGACAAGTGGAAAAACAGAAGCTCTCATTCCCTGGCATTTGCAATGGCCAGGCTGAAGTCAGGAGCCAGAAGCTCAACACAGGTCTCTTAAGTGAGTGACAGGAACCAAACCCCTTGAACTATCACCTGCTACCTCGCAGCTAGGACTGGGGAAGGAGCCAGGACGCAAAACCAGGCCTCCTGTCATGGGATGTGGGTGTCCTGAGTGGCGTCATAACTGCTATGCCACATGCTTGCTTCTCATTTTGGATTTTAATATGATCCAATGTATTAGCTTTTCTCTTTAAAGATCCAGAAGCATCCAACCTGCGAGTGGTTGGCAGGTTGGTCCAAGCAGGGGAGGACTTGCAGGTATCCCCCTCGACAGCATGAAAGACACAGCTAACCTGACCGCTGCTCTCCTACCCCTCCTCCTCCTCTGCTTTGGCTTTTGGTATCAACCAAGAAGAGAGGACACTGAGACTCCTGAGAGCTGAGAAAAGAAAGGTTAAAGGCCAAAGGTTTGCCTGAAACATCACGTTTCCTACTTCAAAGCAAAACAAACCATGAATATTTATTTAGCCTAACATTGTTTCCCATTCAGCTGCCATGCAGCCTCTATGAAACTTTAAATATTCATAGTTTTGACCCGGAAATTCCCTTTTACTAATTGCTCTGTGGAACACTTCCCCAGTGTGCTGAGATGTAAGTTTGAAGACATGGTTGCATTATTCAGGATAATAAAACATAAATTATAAAAAAATGCACATTAGGGAATGGCTAAATATAGTATAGCAAAGCCATGGAGTACTATTTAGCTGTGCAAAAGGACAAAGTAGCTCAATACTGTAGTGGCATGGATGTATTATGATCGCAAACACATAAAAAGACCTGAAAGACAGGTTCTGAACTCCTAATTAGCATTATTTCTGAGCAACTGGACTGAGCGGCTTTTAATTCTCATTTTAATAAGCTTCTGCATTATATGATGATACTGCATTACTTGTATGGTAAGCAATAAACAGACACAAAACAAACAAAAGCAAAACCAAAATGAATATTTGTCTGGTGCACAGAAGGGTGTGGAGAGGTCAGCACAGTTCTTGCAGTCCTACAGAGATAATTACATGGAAAGTTTCGCTCTGTCTCTGCAGACTGCAGGAGTACAGGGCTATCTGGGGAACTCCTGTATGGGTCTGAGTATTCTCAACGGCACAGAAAATTATACTCAAAACTTTTTATCTTGCAGTTCTCTTACAATGCAGCTTTTCATATAGATGTTCTCTTTTTTTTTTCCTTTAAGATGTATATGTTGATTTGAGAGTCAGAGTTACAGATAGGGAGAGATTCTTCATTTACCAATTCACTTCCCAGATGGCCACAATGGCCAAGGCTGAGCCAAGCCAAAGCCAGGAGCCACCAGCTTCATCGGGGTCTGCCATAAGGGTGGCAGGATCCCAAGCACATGGACCATCTTCTGCTCCTTCTTCTAGGTAATTAGCAGGGAGTTGTATCAGAACTGGAGTAGCCAGGACTCGAACTGGGACCTACATGGGATTTCGGCACCTCAGGTCAAAGGTGTCTGCCCATGACACCACATTGCTGGCCCTAGTGTCAATGTTTTTTTTTTTTTTTTCGAAGTACATCATAAGCTTCTGGTGACCACAATGAGATAGCTGAGTGTCTAGAAATACCCATGTGCCTTTGGTTTCCGGGTTTTTCTAATGCCCTCTGTTTCCCTCCCTGCTCCTTTCTCCTTCCAGGATGGCTGAGCAAAGGCAGCTCAAGCTTCAATCTTTACCTTCTCTCATCCACTCTTTGATGTGAGTTGTGCATTCAACCTGCCTACACCCCTGATGAATATACCCAGAAGAGCTACACAGCCTGTTTTCCATCCCGATGTCCCAGATCTTTCTCCTAAAACGACTGTTTTCAGCTGTCAGCCAGACACCACCCTAACATACTACATGACAATGTCATCATGCCCTCAGTAGAACTGAAAAATTTGACTCAGTGTCCATAGCCCAAAACCAAGGTGCTGGCAGGGCTGGATTCTTCTGGTGGTTCCAGGGGAAGATTCCATTTCCTTGCTTTTGTCCTTTTCTTTCTTGGCCTCTAGGGGCTTCCTTGAGATTTTGGCCAAAGTCCCTTGCCCCATCTTCAGGGCACAATTGCCTGCTTCAAGCACAGCATCTACTCCTCGTCTGCTTCCTGAATGATGTCTGTGAACACAGAGGCTGTCTGTGGAACCCCCACAGGATTCTTCCCATCTCAGGATCCCTGGCTGAATCACACCAGTGAGAAGGCAACATTCACGCAGCGTGGTAATGCGTCTACAGACACGTTTAGGGACCCCCATCCAGCATAATCCTCCGTCCCCATCTAACTGAAAAAGGAAATGAGGAAATTCTTGACCACTAACTGCTTGTTCTGCATTAGTTCCTCATACTGAGTTAAACCACTTGCCTTAGTTCTGCATGTTTCTCAGTCCTCCCGTAAGATTCCATTTGATGTCCCCTGCTTCCCTTCCTCCAGTCAGACAGATCCTTCCAAAGCTTTGCTGGTTAGGCTCAGTCAGTTCCTTCAAACACTCAAGCCAGCCTTCAGGGATCGGTCCTTTCCTCCTCTTGTTCCATCGAGTCAGGTGGGGCTGACTCTGGGGTTAATCTGCATCCTCGTGTGAGAATGAATCAAGACTGGATTTGGGATGACAAGAATTTGACCTTGTGAACATTGTGGGAATTACTAAGGAAAAAAATACCTTTCTGATAGATTTTAAGCTGGTGGGAGGTGAGCCTGGAATGGTTGTTGGGCAGCTATGACCACCCCCGCTTCCCCAGGGGACAGGTGTTCTGAGGAAGAAACCAACAAAGGGGAACAAAGGGTCAGGAGGTGCAAAGTTTCATGAGGAGATGTGTGGAGTCCCTTGGTCCAGCCCATGCCTCAGATCAGTGCCACCTGCTCTCATCTCAGTAGTAAGAGTCCCAAATCTCTCTACTCTTTTGCTTTCTTGCTGAAAGCCACAAAGTTTAAATTAGTTTGTTGTACCTTAGAACCACACAAAGTCTGAATAAAAATACATGCTTGTCTCACACAGGGCTATGTAACGGTTAAAACACCCATTTAATTTATGGAGACTCGAAACTGCATAACATGATGTAAATACACAGAATCCAGAGCTACCTTTGGAGATCTATTTCCAAGTTGAGGAGTGAGAAAGGAGGAAGTAGGAGGGGAAAGAAATGCCAACCTCAGTCTGTACCCAAAAAAATAACACCCCCCTCTTCCAGACAAATCACAATGAGCCCCAATGGGTCCCCACAAACAGAAAAATAGGAAGTACCCAGGGACAGTGGACAAAGGAACCACTTGGCCAATCAATCAACAGCGGAGGGGGGAGCAGTGGTTGCACCCTTCCTGCTCCTGGAGATAAGGGCTTGTCCCAGTGATGTGAGTGACTTTGACATCAGCTGATAAAGCCACCTTCTACGTGCACTTTCCTTACTGATGCCTGAAGCAGAGACCACCTGCACAGGAGCTGTGGGAACCTGACAAGAGCTGCCCAATGGACACCAGGAGCTCACTCTGAACATGACGCTGCCAATCAAACAGAAGAAATGACAAATGGCAAATAGAATTAACTCATTGCGCACATCTAAGTGAACAATAACAGATTTAAGATCACAGTCAAAAGAACGTCATATCTTTCTTTTTAATGTTAAAAAAAAAGCTCGAGGGAAATTTTTCACAGGCTTTGTAACTGACACACAATAGGCTGCAAGCCCTAGAAGTAAGTTTCACTATAAGGAAAAGATAAGAAACAAACAAAGGGGATAAAGAAATATCCACAGTCCACAGCCAGGCT